GGGGGGGGGTCAGAGAGAGGGAGACACAGAATCTGAAACAGGCTCCAGGCTCTGAGCTGTCAGCACAGAGCCCGATGCGGGGCTCGACCTCATGGACCGTGAGATCATGACCTGAGCCGAAGTCGGACGCTTAACCGACCGAGCCACCCAGGCGCCCCAAGCCTAGTGATTTTAAAATCATAGTACCTCATACTTGGATTGCTTTATATGTACTTTTTGGTAACAGCTTTATTGAGGTCTACTTTGTATACCAGACAGCTCACTCATTTAAATGTTCAGTGTTTTTTCAGATATTCCTGGAGTTATGCACCATCACAGCAATTTTATACTGTTTCTATCACCCAAAAAGAGACCTCATTATTTAGCCATTAATCCTTGTTCTTTCATCCTCTTAGCTCTAGCCAACAACCAATCTACTTTCTGGCTCTATAGATTTGTTAATTCTGGATATTTCATATAAATGGAATCATGTAATATGCAGCCTGTTGTGATTGGTTACTTTCACTTGGCATAAAGTTTTCAAAGTTCATTCATGTTATAGTTGTAGCATGTATCAAATTAATTTATATAATTTAATTTTTAATAATTAATAAATAATTAATTAATTAATATTTATTAATAATTATATTATATATTATTATATTATATATAATATTATATAATTGATAATTAATAATTAATTAATAAATAATTAATAAATAATTAATTAATAATTAATTAATAATTAATAAAAATTTTAATAATTTTTAATAAATAATTTAAATTAACTTCTTTGTTAGGTCTGAATAATATTTCATTGTGTAGATATGCCACATTTTGTTTATCCATCCATCAGTTGATAGACATTTGGATTATTTCCACTTTTTGGCTATTTTGGATAATGCCATAGCATTGTGTACAAGTGTTTTTAATGGTTTTGGGGATATATATTTTAATTTCTTTAGGGTGTAAACTTAGGAATATAATTGTTGGGTCAAACAAGTAACTCTCTGTTTAATTTTTTGAGGAACTACCAGACTCTTTTCCAAAGTGGCTATACCATTTTATATTCCCACCAGTAGTATATGAGGGTTCTGATTTCTCTACATCCTTGCCAGAACTAGTTATTATCTCATTTTTGGATTCTAACCATGCCTAATGGATATGAAGTAGTAACATTGTGGCTTTGATTTACATTTCTCTGATGACTTGTGGCATTGAGCATCTTTTCATATGCATATTGGCCATTTGTATATCTTTTTTTCAAAAATGTCTATCCAGGTTCTTTGCCATTTTTTAACCGGGGTGTCTATTCATTATTGAGTTATAAGAATTCATATATATGATTTGCAAATATATTCTTTTGTTTTTTGGATTGTTAACGCTATCTATCCTTTTCACTTTTTTTTAAATGTTTATTTTTGAAGGGGGTGGGCAGAGAGAGAAAGGGAGAAAATCCCAAGCAGGCTCCACCCTCAGCACGGAGCCCGACGTGGGGCTTGATTTCAGGACCATGAGATCATGACCTGAGCCTGACATGAAAAGTCAGATGCTTAGTCAGTCAGATGCGACTGAGCCACCCAGGCACCCCATCCTTTCTTTTCATTTATCTGCATCATTATCCGGGGAGATAAGTGGGTCATTATCATACCCATTATATAGAAACTAACTTTGATGAAGTGTCAGAGGTAGCTAATCGGTCAAGGATTATGCCTGGGTCAACTTATTCCTAGTACAGTGTTCTGTCCTTGATACCATTGCTTAAATAATGTAAACTGGCAGTTTGGGGGTAATGAAAACAAAGAATCATTTAAGGGTACACAATAGTGGTGTATTTTTGTTTAAATTAAAGTTTAGTGATGAACCCATTATTTTACCATTTTGATTGTGACCTCAAGTCTTTAAAAATGGAACTTATAAATGAAAATTTTCATGAGTATTCTTAGAAGATTTTATATAATATTTGAAAACAAACATCCTGTTTGATAAATATTATAGCAATTTATAATCACTGAGGGCAAGAAATGAGGGAGAAATGAAGAAGTTGTTATTTTGCAACAAGAAAAACTACTAATAAAAATATCCCTTTTTTTTTTAATTTTTTTTTTCAACGTTTATTTATTTTTGGGACAGAGAGAGACAGAGCATGAACGGGCGAGGGGCAGAGAGAGAGGGAGACACAGAATCGGAAACAGGCTCCAGGCTCTGAGCCATTAGCCCAGAGCCTGACGCGGGGCTTGAACTCACGGACCGCGAGATCGTGACCTGGCTGAAGTCGGACGCTTAACCGACTGCGCCACCCAGGCGCCCCTAAAAATATCCCTTCTTATTGAGTATGTTTTATCTTATACAGCCAAAAGATATCTATTAACTGCTCTGGGTTTTACTGGTAGATCACTAAAAATTGGGGGTTTATGATCCATCACAGTTATTAGATTTATTAGCCTGGGATTTTCCCCCCTTCCTTAATGTAGAATTTAAAAAGAAGAGTTAACACAAAACTTTACTATGAGGCAATATTTTCATGCCTTTGATAAAGGGAAAAACATAATGTGTTGAGTATTGTGGTAGAGGATAAACCTGTTGAAGTCAATAAACATGTTTTTGGTGATTCATTTTATTTGCAATTCAGTCTTATTTTTTTATCTCTTCTGTGCGTGCATATAAGCCCTCCACCTTTCATTGCTAACCTGCAATAATCACAGTTTCCAGCCTTTAAGCTGAAAAATGTCTGTGGGGAATGATGAAATTTAGTGTTATTCCAAAATAGAATGCTTCCATATAGCCTAAAACCAGGATTTATCTTGTAAGCTGAATGGAAAACTTCATTTTTAAGTAACCTTAATAAACAGAAATTTATGGTCTCAAAGGGATAATGTTACTTGAGATTTTTCTTTGTGATTAAAAGAAACACATGAAAGAACTAAGAATAAAGATATATTTTGTGAAAAATAAAGTATATAGTGTATGCATGTTAATATACATTTTCTTTAAAAATTTTTTTTAATACTTATTTATTTTTGGGAGACAGAGAGACAGAGTGCAAGGAGGGGAGGGGCAGAGAGACAGGGAGACACAGAATGTGAAGCAGGCTCCAGGCTCCAAGCTGTCAGCACAAAGCCTGATGCAGGGCTTGAACCCACAAAGCGTGAGATCATGACCTGGGCCGAAGTCAGACGCCTAACTGACTGAGCCACCCAGGCACCCTTAATATACATTTTCTTTACCATGGTAGAAAACTGTCTAAAGTTACAGTTAGTATGATCCAAGAAAATTATTTTTGAAAGATTTCTAAATAATATCTCTAACTTTTAAGATCATGTGTTCCAGCATCTTAAATATAATATTCCTGCCGTTGTAACTCACTGGTAATTATTTTATTTTAATGTTATTTTATTTATTTTGTTTATTTTAATTGTTATTTTATTTTAATGTCGTTTTATTTTTAATGTTAAAAAGTATTATTTTAATGTTAAATTTTTCCAGGTGGATATTCCATCTATTATAACCAAGAAACTGTTAAAAGCAGCAATGAAGCATATAGAAGTGATAGTTAAAGCCAGTCAGAAAGGTAATATAGTTTTCTACTACAAAGTTTGAGTGATTTTTATATACCAGCTTTCACCTTAAATACCTAAGTATGAATACTGATGCATTAACTGATATTCACAAATGCTGTGAAAGTATTCCTTTAAACTGAAATCTTTTTCAGTATTTTGTTTTACAATGTAAGTGATTGCAAAAACACAGTAATCTGTGAAAATTAAAATACAGTTAACTTTTGGATACATTATTGATGACTTTCATCTTTTTTTTTGAATAATAGTCTTGCCTTCATTACTTCCTCTGAGGTACCTCACATAATCTCTTCCCCCTTTCTTTTTTTCTTAATGATTTCAACAGTTTTGACCTATTCCAGCCCATTGTATATATCACTACCATTTAATTTCATAGTACTACAATTATCATGTTCTCTCTCTACTAAAATTAGTGACTCTGCTATAGAGGCTAAATTGTATACTTAAATACTTTCTTGTCTAGTCAGATATTTTATTCTACTTTTGTCTTTAACTGTGTATTATGCTTTGGTTAGGATCACCTATTTGCATTTTTTTGTGTATGTCCTGGCCTCTTTATACTGTCATGATTTGCACATAGTAAATGTTTTCTGATTAATGAGTGAAATCTTCATTTGGGACTTTTCTTGCTCTTAGATCAAACTGGAATTTTTCTTTAACAAAATCACTTCTGTGTTCTAGGGTTGATTCTTTACAAAACTGATTTTCCTCGTGTTTGCATTTGGTATTCTTTGTCAGTGCTTTCCTAATGCTTTTGGTATTCTTTATCGATACTACATACTACTCCATGTAGATAACCATGTGGAAGAGGTTTCATGGTCATATTTTCTGGTAATTACTATATATTATATTCCCCTTCTGGAAATTCCCAGTAAATACTAGCATACCAAAGTTTCTGAGTAGTCCTACAGCAAAGAAATAGCTTTGACTACTTAGTTTTTAACTTACCACATCCCAAATTCATCTGAACACAGAACCAATTTTCTGTCTCTCATAATATCAGTTATATAATCAGTTCGTTTGGGGAAATTATGTTCTCAGCAGGGTTGAAGTAAAATTAAATCGAATCATTAGTTTGTTTTTTGCTGAGTAATTCCTCAGGTATGAGAAGCGTTTTAAATTCTATATTTGAATTAGTTTTCTGTGTTCATCTTATATCATAAGAACTAAAATAGTTTTACTTTCAACATGTTCAAAAAGTAGTAGAGTTTGAATATGTGTAATTTAATTGAATAAAAAAATTAACTTAAAAATCATCATCCTGTCACTGGCAAAAACAAACTGATTGTCTTTAGCCATTTTGTCAAGGCCAAACCGTCAGGAAAAAGCATAGGAAAAGTGTTTTTTTTTACTGGTAAATTTCTTTATTATTTTTTTTAACATTTTATTTTTAAGTAATCTCTATACCCATTGTGGGGCTTGAACTCACAACCCAGAGATCAAAAGTCACATGATCCACCAACTGAGCCAGCCAGGTGCCCCAGTAAATTTTAGTTTTTAGAGCAGTTTAAAGTTTACAGAAAATTGAGCAGAAAGTATAGAGAGTGCCCATCTCTCTTTCTTTTCCTCTATTAACATCTTGTATTGGTACATTTATTACTATTGATATACCAATATTGATACATTATTATTAAAGTCCATAGTTTTCATTAGGGTTTACCCTTTGTGTTGTACATTCTGTAGGTTTTGACTAGTTTCACCTATCATCTCTCCCTCTTTCCTTCATGAACCTTTGGCAACCCTTGATCTTTTTACTGTCCATACAGTTTGCCTTTTCCAGAATGTGATATACTTGGAATCATAATGTGGCCTTTTCAGACTAGCTTCTTTTATTTAAAAATAATGTATTTACGGCTCCTCCATGTCTTTTCATGGCTTGATAGCTTATTTCTTTTTTGTTTTTTTAAAATTTTTTTAACATTTATTTATTTTTGAGAGACAGAGAGATACAGAATGTGAGTGGAGGAGGGGCAGAGAGGGAGACAGAATCTGAAGCAAGCTCCAGGCTCTGAGCTGTCTGTCAGCCCAGAGCCCAAAGTGGGGCTCAAACCCATGAACCATGAGATCATGACCTGAGCCAAAGTTGGATGTTCAACCAACTGAGCCACCCAGGTTGCCCCTGAATAGGTCTTTTCTTTTTATTGCTCAGGTATACTCCAGTGTATGGATGTACCACAGTTTATTTATCCACTCACCTATTGAAGGATATCTTGCTTGCTTCCAAGTTTGGGCAGTTATGAATAAAGCTGTTACAAACATTTGTTTGCAGGTTTTTATGTGAGAAAGGTATTTTTAATATAGTCTTTGTTCTATTTTTTCATTAAAAAATTTTTTTTTCATGTCTATTTATCTTAGAGAGAGAGGCAGAGTGTGAGTGGGGGAGGGGCAGAGAGAAAGAGGGAGACACAGAACTTAAAGCAGGCTCCAGGCTCTGAGCTGTCAGCGCAGAGCCCGACGTGGGGCTTGAACCCACGAGTTGTAAGATCATGACCTGAGCTGAAGTCAGACGCCCAACCAACTGAGCTACCCAGGCGCCCTTTTTTTTCTTTTTTCATTTAAAAAAAAATTTTTTTTTTTTTTAATTATAGTCTTTGTTTTAAAGACAAACACTTTGAACTCAGGCTTTGAGTAAATGGATGCATCTTTTTTTTTTTAAACTTTATTTTTTATTTTTTAAAATTTACATCCAAAATTTTTTTTTTAATTTTATTTTTTATTTTTTAAAATTTACATCCAAATTAGTTAGCATATAGTGAAGCAGTGATTTCAAGAGTAGATTCCTTAATGCCCCTTACCCATTTAGCCCATTCCCCCTCCCACCCCCTTCAGCAACCCTCAGTTTGTTCTCCATATATATGAGTCTCTTTTGTTTTGTCTCCATCACTGCTTTTATATTATTTTTGTTTCCCTTCCCTTATGTTCATCTGTTTTGTGTCTTAAAGTCCTCATATCAGTGAAGTCATATCATTTTTTGTCTTTCTGTGACTAATTTCACTTAGCATAATACCCTCCAGTTCCATCCACATAGTTGCAAATGGCAAGATTTCATTCTTTTTGATTGCCAAGTAATACTTCATTGTATGTATATATATATATATATATATATATATATATATATATATATATATATCACATTTTCTTTATCCATTCATCCACCGATGGACATTTGAGCTCTTTCCATACTTTGGCTATTGTTGATAGTGCTGCTATAAACATGGGGGTGCATGTGTCCCTTCGAAGCAGCACACCTGTATCCCTTGGATAAATGCCTAGTAGTGTAATTCCTGGGTCATAGGATAGCTCTATTTTTAGTTTTTTGAGGAACCTCCATACTGTTTTCCAGAGTGGCTGCACCAGCTTGCATTGCCACCAGCAGTGCAGAAGAGATCCTCTTTCTCCGCATCCTTACCAACGTCTGTTGTTGCCTGAGTTGTTAATGTTAGCCATTCTGACAGGTGTAAGGTGGTATCTCATTGTGGTTTTGATTTGTATTTCCCTGATGATGAGTGATGTTGAGCAATTTTTCATGTGTCAGTTGGCCATCTGGATGTCTTCTTTGGAGAAGTGTCTATTCATGTCTTTTGCCCATTTCTTTACTGGATTATTTGTTTTTTGGGTGTTGAGGTTGATAAGTTCTTTATAGATTTTGGATACTAACCCTTTATCTGATATGTCATTTGCAAATATCTTCTCCCATTCTGTCAGTTGCCTTTTAGTTTTGCTGATTGTTTCCTTCACTGTGCAGAAGCTTTTTATTTTGATAAGGTCCCAGTAGTTCATTTTTGCTTCTGTTTCCCTTGCCTCCGGAGATGTGTTGAGTAAGAAATTGCTGCGGGCAAGATCAAAGAGGTTTTTGCCTGCTTTGTCCTCTAGGATTTTGATGGCTTCCTGTCTTACACTGAGGTCTTTCATCCATTTTGAGTTTATTTTTGTGTCTGGTGTAAGAAGGTGGTCCAGGTTCATTCTTCTGCATGTCACTGTCCAGTTTTCCCAGCACCACTTGCTGAAGAGACTGTCTTTATTCCATTGGATATTCTTTCCTGCTTTGTCAAAGATTAGTTGGCCATATGTTTGTGGGTCCATTTCTGGGTTCTCTATTCTATTCCATTGATCTGAGTGTCTGTTCTTGTGCCAGCATCTTTTTTTTTTTTTTTTTTAATGTTTATTTATTTTGAGAGGGAGAGCGCAAGTGGGAGAGGGGCAGAGAAAGGGAGAGAGAGAATCCCAAGCAGGTTCCACACTGATATGGAGCTTGATCTCAAGAACTGTCAGATCATGACCTGAATCAAAATCAGGAGTCTGACCCTTAACTGACTGAGCCACCCAGGTGCCCATTTTATTTTTAGTTGAACTAATCAGTTTTTTTTTTTTTTAATTTTTTTTTTTTTCAACGTTTTATTTATTTTTGGGACAGAGAGAGACAGAGCATGAACGGGCAAGGGGCAGAGAGAGAGGGAGACACAGAATCGGAAACAGGCTCCAGGCTCTGAGCCATCAGCCCAGAGCCCGACGCGGGGCTCGAACTCACGGACCGTGAGATCGTGACCTGGTTGAAGTCGGACGCCTAACCGACTGCGCCACCCAGGCGCCCCTGAACTAATCAGTTTAATAAAATTCCCAAATTATTTTGTCTCTAAAAGAGTGATAATTTGAAATTTATTGTTGAGACTACAAGAGAGGGGTTGTTAACTTGCTACTATTAATGCAAAAAGTGGTTCCCAGTTATAAAATTGTCATAAAATGCTAGATTAGATTCATTAATAATATTGTAGTTAATGAGATCCATAGAAGTAAAAGGCCAGAGCTTAGAAGGACTTTCATTTTATTCAAAAGTCCTGGTATTCTAAATATTATGACAGGGAATTAGATAGACTTGTAAAAAAGGTTTTCAGATTTTTGAATTTTCATTTCTTTAATGCGTGGATTTATTTTCTAAATTCTTTGGCCCCACAATTGTGCATAATTCAGAAAGTAATTAAATGTTCATCTCTTCATCCATATTCTTTTTACTCTCGGTGTTTTCTCTATAATCTGTCTTTTGAGAATAGGGTTTATATAGATGTTTTCCATGTAAGTACTTTTATGGCTGTTAGAAATACTGAATGTGTACACATTTAGAAACACTGGTTTAATTTAAATTCAGTAATAAACTGTGCAAAAGGACCTTACTCTCTAGTCTTTCATCCTAAAGATATCCCTTTGTCATGAATTCTGGAGACCTTTCCTGCTTTGGTCTGAAAACTACTAACTACTGATGATTAGTGGGGATTAGTCCATGCTCTGTTTTCCAGCATCTATATTTTGTTTACATTCCCAATTAAGATTTTCCTCCCTGTATTCTCTTAATGTTTTGCATGATTTATTTTCTCATTATCTTGAACTACAAAAAACTTTCAAGTCTGACAGATGTTGAATAGATTTCAATCTAGTGATTCAATTTATATTTTATGTGTAAATGCTTAATCACATTGACTATTATAATTACTTACACATTTTGCATGATGACTTTTCAGTGTTAATAACTATTTACTGATGTGGGAACTGAGACTTACAGGGATTATATCATTTGTTCAAGATCATATCAGTTTGTTAACGAAGTAGAGTTGTAATTTAGCATGGCTTAGTCTTATTTTAAATTCCGGCTCATGACAAATTTTTAAAAACCTGTGTCCCAAATTCTTGGAGAAAATGCTTAGCAAATAATTGGATAATTATGAAATAAAATGCATTTCTTGTAAAAACTACATCTGCCTTTGCCAGTCCTTTTGTACCTCAGGCGCAGATGGCCTTCATTTATCTTCTTAGTATTCACACTAGTAGTATGCATATATTGACTTTTTTGGGTAAATGTGCTTGCATTCTCTTTTAATAAAAATAGAAGAAAATAGTGAAAAATACATGCCATTGAATTAGATTAAGATTCCCTTCATAGAAGCCATGATTTTGAAACTAGGCACAGAATGCAAATAGGGGAAAACATGACTTGTTTTTCTTCTACTCTTTTGAGGTCTGTAAAAAACAGTGGCAATACTATTACCTTTAAGTTAAAATATTTAGTATTTGACCTTTAAAGAAAACTTTCTGTTAATATAAGTTTTATCATCAGTTAATATTCATTAAGTAATGTATCTATTCATGGACTTCTACAGTTCTGTACCTCTTGTGTCCTATATGCTGGGCAGAAGGTACAGAACCTAATCAAAAAAGCCAGTTTCTATACCATAAGTGCTTTAAAAGATTACCTGAATTATTTTGATGTTGAAAGCAGAGACAATAAAGAATTTTAACAGGGGTTTTGTTTTGTTTTGTTTTTTATTTGCAAACGATGAACAGGTGTAACATTTGATAGCAACAGCTTTGTATGTGCTAGAAATTTTCTGTAGTTTTTCCACTTTTTAAAATAAACATTTGCTTTTGTTAATATAATTTGTGTTTTTTTTAAGTTTATTTTTAAAGAGAGAGAGAGAGAGGGAGAGAGAAACCTAAACAGGCTCTGCACTGTCAGCACAGAGACTGACTCAGGGGTCCATCTCTTCAATTGTGAGATCATAACCTAAGCTGAAATCAAGAGTCGGACACTTAACCGACTGAGCTACCCAGGCACCCCTGTTTAATATAATGTGTAAAATAGTGATACAAGTTAAAATTCTTGCTTGTATTGGGAAAGGGTCTTTTTATCAAATTTTTGCAAAATTGAAAAACTGGCAAGGAGGGAATTATTCTTTTTATATCCTATTTGTGAAAAATTTCCCAGTAAAATACATATTGGAAAGAAAGGAGGTTATGAAAGGAATAACTGTGTTAAATGATTTTCTGTTTGTGAGTGGAAATGGGTGGAGTTAGTTAATGTTACTTAACTTCTTTCAATATTTATTTTTTAATCTCTGTAGTAGAAAATACAGAGTTTTTACAGCAAGCTGCTTTAGAAGAATATGGTCCAGAGCTTCATGTGGCTTTGAGGAGTCGAAGAGATGAATTACACTATTTAAGGAAACTCACTGAACTACTTTTTCCTTATATTTTGCCTCCTAAAGCAACAGACTGCAGGTATAAATAGACTGGAAAATGTCATAGCGGTATTTGCATACCATGCCATATGTGTATTGATATTCTTTTTTTTTTTTTTTTAAGTTTATTTTGAGACAGAGAGCAGGGGAGGGGCAGAGAAGGAGGGAGAGAGAATCCCAAACAGACCCCACACTGGTAGCTTGGAGCCTGATGTGGGGTTCAAACTCATGAATCATGACATCATGTCCTGAGCTGAAATCAAGAGCCACCCAGGCGCCCCTGTATGTTGCTATTTTTGATCATAATAGGAGTACACTAAAACTTGAGATTAGGCAATGATGTGAATAACTTTTCATTTTTAAAGAAGTACGGTTTGTCCGGTCTTAAAATGCCGTTTTAGGTACTAAGTATTTGGATGTGTTGTGTTGCTTAGAAGGTTTTTTTTTTTTTTGGAAATTCCCAAGGTAAATATAGATAAAATCAGTTTTTTTTGAGATCATTATACTTTGTTCATTCTTGGTGTTCCATTTTAAAGACATATACATTGTGACTTAGTGGCAGAAACACTTTGAACAAACTAAACTGATATGTTTGTATTTTAAGATATATACCTGAGAAGAATAATTAGAATTCATCTAGACTGTCCTTCCTTGTTCTGGCAGGAACATGTTTAGATTATTGCATAAAGTTACCTCATTACTCTTATCCTAATAATTCTTAGAAGAGAAATTATGGCTTATTTTTAGTGATGTACTTTTTTTAATTTTATTTTTTATTTTTTTTAGATTTTATTTTTAAGTAATCTCCACACCCAACATGAGACTCGAACTCATAACCCCTAGATCAAGAGTTGTATGCTCTACCAACTGAGTCATCCAGGTGCCCCTAGTGATGTACTTTAAATATTACTTTATTTATGACCTAAAATTTGTATTAACATTTTTTAAATTTTAAACATTTTAATGAAAATATTTTTATTTTAAAGAAATTAATATATAATGTTATTTATTTTTTAAAAAAGTTTATTGAGAGAGAGAGAGAGAGAGAGAGAGAACCAGCGGAGGAGGGGCAGAGAGAGAGGGGGTCAGGATCCGAAGCAAGCAGGCTCCTTGTTGACAGCAGAGAGCCTGATGTGGGGCTCGAACCCACAAACTGTGAGATCATGACCTGAGCTGAAGTCGGATGCTTAACCGACTGAGCCTCCCAGGTTCCTCTATAATGTTAATTTATATTATAATTACAAAGTAATTATACTGTTAAAAACCTATTAGTTTTAAACATTAATTTCGAAATATATTAAATATTTTAAATATTCCGAGATGAGTATTTTCTAGTGCTCACCCAAATCCTTCCTGTTAAGGAAATGCTGTTTTCTCTTAAATAGTACTCTCTCCTGGTCAGTACAGGACTCCCAAGTGTGGTCTGTGAACCACTAGCATGTGCATTACTTGGGAACTTTTTAGAAATGCAGAATCTTGGGACATATTTATTGAATTAGTCTGCATTTTAACAAGATCCCCAGGTAAGAACTGATGTAAATCACTGAATATGTCTAATACTGTTTATTTTTCCAGATCCCTGACCTTACTTTTAAGAGAGATCCTGTCTGGTTCAGTGTTCCTTCCATCTTTGGATTTCCTAGCTGATCCAGTAAGGCTTAAAAAATGGTTTTGAATTGTGGTAAAATATATACAAAATTTATCATCTTAAATGTTTTTATATGTATAGTTCAGTGGTATTAAATACATTCATTGTTGAGCAACCGTGACTACCACTCACCTGTAGAATCTTTTCATCTTACAAAACTGAAACTCTGTACTCATTAAATAATAATTCTCTATTCTTCCTTCCTCCTAGCCCCTGGCAACCATCACTGCACTTCCTATCTCTATGAATTTGACTACTCTGGGTACCTCATATAAGTGGGTCCAGTCAGTATTTGTCTGTTTGTGACAGTCTTATTTCCCTTAGCGTGATGTCTCCAAGATTTATCCATGTTGTAGCATATATTGGAATTTCATTCCTTATTAAGGATGAATAATATTCCATTGTAGGTATATACCACATTTTTCTGTTTATTCATCCATTGATGGACACTTCAGTTCCTCTTACTTGAACTAGTAAGATTTTGAAGAAACAGGAATAATTTATAAACACTTTATTTTTACATGTATGGAGTATTTACATTATGCCAGGTGTTGTTTTAAAGTTTTATTTATTTATTTATTTTTGAGAGAGAGAGAGAGAGAGAGAGAGAGAGAGAGAGAGAGAGAGAGAGTGAGCACATGTGTAAGCAGGGGAGGGGCAGAGAAAGAGAGGGAGACAGAAGATCTGAAGTAGGCTCTGCAGTGACAGCGCAGAGCCTGGCATGGGGCTTGAATGCCCAAACCGTGAAATCATGACCTGAGCTGAACTCAGACATTTAACTGACTGAGCCACCCAGGCACCCATATAAACATTTTGAATGCCAAAGTCAGAATAACTTTTCTTTGCCCACTTTCCTAAAAGTGAGGCCCTGCATCACAGATTTTTTAAAGTCCCTCTATATTACATATGTGTAGATGCTTTGCCACTGTTCCATATTTTCTTCATTTTTCTAGAAACTTCCACGATATGAATAAAGCTTTGAGAATTTTGGGAGAAGATGGTAATGGAATTATTTTGACCTATGTGTATTATTTTCTATTAGGATACTGTGAATCATTTGCTTATCATCTTCATAGATGACAGTCCAGTGAGTATTATATTAGAAACATTCAGATTGCATTTAATTTTTGATTTATATCTGTCCAGTCACATGGCACTTGTATTGAATTAATAAATTCTCTTTCTTCAAAGCCTGAAAAAGCAACTGAACTGCCTTCCCCTTTGGTTCCATTCTTGCAGAAATTTGCAGAACCTAGAAATAAAAAGCCATCTGTAAGTATTTTTACCAATAACATATTATTTTTGATATAAACAATTTTATCATGTGTTTATATGGCCTTAACTTACCCTTCTCTCATATTGTATCAAGGTGCTGAAGTTAGAATTGAAGCAAATCAGAGAGCAGCAAGATCTCTTATTTCGTTTTATGAACTTTCTGAAACAAGAAGGAGCAGTGCATGTATTGCAGATATGTCTGACTGTGGGTGAGGCTTACCGTGCACTTTAGCAAAGTCATTTTTATACTTTTTAATACATTAAATATTTTAAATATATTTGAGTATTTAGATCAGATTTGATGTTGTTGTAGGGTGTCATTGTACTAAATTTCTTTTTACTAGGTATTCTAAGATCACCTTTGAGTTGTCTCTGGTGTCCACTCCTTTCCACATTGTAACATAATCTATAACTGACCTCGATCAACTGACTTCCTCTTTATTTTTAAAAAATTTTTTTATACTTACTTATTTTTGATAGCGACAGAGCACAAGTGGGGGAGGGGCAGAGAGAGAAGGAGACACAGAGTCCGAAGCAGGCTCCAGGCTCTGAACTGTCAGCACAGAGCCCGACACAGGGCTCGAACTCACAAACCGCAAAATCGTGACCAGAGCCAGAGTTGGACGCCCAACCGACTTAGCCACCCAGGCACCCCAACTGACTTCCTTTTTAAATATAACTTTAAGGGGCGCCTGGGTGGCGCAGTCGGTTAAGCGTCCGACTTCAGCCAGGTCACGATCTCGCGGTCCGTGAGTTCGAGCCCCGCGTCAGGCTCTGGGCTGATGGCTCAGAGCCTGGAGCCTGTTTCTGATTCTGTGTCTCCCTCTCTCTCTGCCCCTCCCCCGTTCATGCTCTGTCTCTCTCCCCAAAATAAATAAACGTTGAAAAAAAAAAAATAAATAAATATAACTTTAAAAAAATTGAGGTGTAATTTACAGTGAAACTCATAGAACTTAAATGTACAGTTTGGTCAGTTTGGAGACATCTGTACATCTGTGTAACCTACTCCTTTATCAAGATAACAGAACGTTTCCATCACTCCAGAAAGTTGGGGTCCTTCCCAGACGAGCTACCCTTGCTCCCACTCCTGCCAGAGCCAACACAGCTCTCATTCCTTTCCCCACAGATTACTTTTGCTTGTACCGTTTCCTGATAGAAGTGGAGTACATCGTGTGTACTCTTTTGTGCCTGGCTTCATTGATTTAAGATTATGCTTTTTAAGATTGATTCAGGTTGTTGTGTAGAGGAATAGTTTGCTCTTTTTTATTGCTAAGTAATACTCTTTTATATGAGTGTACCACAGCGTGGGCTTTCTTTTTTTTTTAATTCATTCTTGTGGATGGGTATCTGGACTGCTTTCATTTTTGAGCTATTATAAAGAAAATTGCTATGCATATTCTTGTCTAAAGATTTCTGTTGGGCATATGCTTAACAACTGGAAGTAGAATTGCTGGGTCACAGGGTAGATATATATTTTGTTATATGAGAAATTACCAAATTGTTTTCCAAAGTGGTTGTACTATTTTTGAGTGGTTGTACCCTCCTTAGCAATATGTGAGAATTCTGGTTGCTTTACATCTTTACAAAAATTTGGTGGTATTTATTTATTTTTTTAATTTTAGCCATTTTAGTGGGTGTGTGGTGGTATCTTGTGCTTTTAACTTGCATTTCTCTAATGACTAGTGTTGAACACTTTATCATATGCTTACTGGTCATTTGAATATCTTGGTATGTGGAAGTGTTTAAGTCTTTTCCCTATTTTTTATTGAATTGTTTTTCTTGTCATTGAGTTATAGGAATTTTTTTTTTTAAGTTTATTTATTTATTTTGAGAGGGATGGAGAGAGAAGCAGGGGAGGGGGAGAGAGAGAATCCCAGGCAGGCTCTGTGCTGTCAGCATGGAGCCTGATGCAGAGCTTGATCCCACGAACTGAGATCATGACCTGAGCTGAAATTGAGAGTTGGACACTTACCTGACTGAGCTACCCATGTGCCCCAGAGTTCTTTTTTTTTTTTTTTTTTTTAATTTTTTTTTCAACGTTTTTTATTTATTTTTGGGACAGAGAGAGACAGAGCATGAACGGGGGAGGGGCAGAGAGAGAGGGAGACACAGAATCGGAAACAGGCTCCAGGCTCTGAGCCATCAGCCTAGAGCCCGACGCGGGGCTCGAACTCACGGACCGCGAGATCGTGACCTGGCTGAAGTCGGACGCTTAACCGACTGCGCCACCCAGGCGCCCCCAGAGTCCTTTATATATTCTAGATGCAACCCTTTTGTCAGATATCAGACTATGACTTGTGTTTTCATTTTCTGAATAGTTTTGATGAGTAGAATTTTAAAATTTTGATGATAATTCAGTAGATCTATATTTATGGGTAGTGCTTTGAGAGACTTCCATAAGAAATGTTTGTTACCCAAAGTCAAGGTGATATTATCTCTAGATGCCTGTTTTTCTCTACATGCTTTATAGTTTTATATTTTACATGTAGGTTTGTGACCTTGAAATCTTTTTGTATTGGTATTAGATAGGAGTGGAGTTTCATTTTTTCCCCTCGTATGGTTATGCATATCCAGTTTTTCTGATACTCATGTTTTTTAAGTTTATTTATTTATTTTGAGTGAGAGAGAGAGCGCACACAAGCAGGGATGGGGCAGAAAAGAAGAGCGAGAATCCCAAGCAGGTTCTGTGCTATATCAGCATGGAGCCTGATGTGGGGCTCAGTCTCGCGAACTGTGATATCCTGACCTGAGCTGAAATCAAAAGTTAGACACTTAACCGACTGAGCCACCCAGGCACCCCCTGATACCCATTTTCTGAAGAGTCATTTCTTTCCCATCTTGAATTGTTAAATTATTTGATCATGTATGTGTGTTTCTGGATTCTCTTCTGTTCCATTGATCCATATGTCTGGTTTTTTGGCCAGTACTACAGTGTTGATTATTTTGACTATATAGGGTTTTTTTTTTTAATGTTTATTTTTGAGAGAGAGAGACAGAGTGTGATCAGGGGAGGGGCAGAGATAGAGGAAGACCTCTACCTCTGTCTACCTCTGTCACTGCCCCTCCCCCACTCACACTGTCTCTCTCTCAGAAGTAAACAAAACATTAAAAAAATTAAAAAAAATTTTTTTAATTGTTGCTAATATACAGAAAGAGAACAATTTTGCATATTGACTTTGTATCCTGTGCCATTGCTGCATTCATTTATTAGTTCTGGTAGCTTTTTCGTATATTTCCTTAAGATTTTCTACATATGTAATTGTGTCAACTGCAATACAGTTTTACTTTTTGCTTTGTAGTGTTTATGCCTTCCTTATGTTTCTTTCTCTTGCCTATTACAATGGCTAGGCCCTTTACAATAATGTTGAATAGAAGTGGTGAAAGTTGATATCCTTGGTTTTGTTCGTGATCTTATGGGGAAATCACTTAGTGTTATACCATTAAGTATGGTATTACCCTGGGCTTTTTTGTAGATATCCCCTAGCTGGTTTTACGATTTCCTCTTTATTTTTGTTTCTCAGCAATTTGACTCTACTATGTAGTTTTCTTTTTATATGTTCTTCTTGGGTTTTACTGAGAGTCTTGGATATGTTGCCTTGGGATTCTCACTCTCCTTCTCTGCCCCATCCCTGCTTGTGTGTGCTCTCTCTCTCTCAAAATAAGTAAATAAACTTAAAAAAATGGGTATCAGAATGGGTTGGTGTCTTTCATCCTTTTTGAAAATTCTTGGCTGTTATCACTTCAAATCCCAGGATCATATATGTGGTGCTCCCTTTTTTAAAACTCTTTTCTTTCCTCTCTGTTTCAGTTGGGTAATTAAGAATTAGGGAGTGAACTCCATATTACTACCTCTTCTAATAAGAAAAGGCAGTTAATATTTTGTCTCCTACTGCTGTTATCTGTCATTAAAAAAAAAAAATGATTCATTTGTTTACGTACTCAGCTCCATCAGTAGTCTGTAGTCTCCATGATGGAAGGAAATATTATTTAAAAACATTGGAACTTTAAAAAGCCTTAAGTTTCACTGTTATTTAGTGAATTAGATTTCAAAATATTAATGACCATTGGTATAAGAAGTCAATCAAATATGTTCTTTAAATAAAAGTTTTAGAAATCTGTTTACTATTCTGAATTTTAGAAATTTGTATTGCTGTGCAAGTGTTTACATATTTTATGTTAATATAGAAAATATTTGGTTAAAAGTTTTTCTTTCATGTGGGTAGTTATTTTATTTCCAATTAAAATTATTTTAAAAGCTTAAAATGAATAGATTGTAATTTCTGTTTTTAATATTGATTACAATTAGACTGGGAATAATATATTATGTTTTATATTGTATTGTGTTGTATTGAAAGAATTCATTTTTTCTTACTTTTTCCTAATTTGCTAGAGGAATTCAATGATAGAATTTTGCGACCAGAGTTGTCAAATGATGAAATGCTGTCTCTTCATGAAGAGTTGCAGAAGATTTATAAAACCTATTGTTTGGATGAAAGTATTGACAAAATTCGATTTGATCCCTTTATTGTAGAAGAGATTCAAAAGAGTAAGTCAAAGATGTTGATGAGAATATAGCCCTTTTACCACTTTTAATGTTTTCAGAGTTTTCTCCTGTATTCATCTAACAAGATAAAAGCTTTGATGAGAAATTTACTCACAATTCACATAGCTAATACTTGCAGAACTTGTTCTGATTCCTCATCCTAGTGTGATTTCTGTACCTTATAAGTGGATTTTCTGCAAAACATAATTTTACGACTGTTTGAATGTTCTTTCACTGTCATTTTAAACTAATATATAATGTATTTATGGTATTCATAAACAATTTCTACAATATAATTTTTTTAATAGTTGCTGAAGGCCCTTATATAGATGTTGTGAAACTTCAAACTATGAGATGCCTTTTTGAAGCATATGAACATGTACTGTCTCTCTTAGAGAATGTGTTTACACCTATGTTCTGCCACAGTGATGAGGTAAGTCAAAATATTAATCTTGTTTGAGAATTTTCCTTCAAAATTTAATAATGGCTTTCATATCAGTAGGTGAGTGATTCAAAAAGCAAAATAAAAATAAAACATGATTAACTAAAAAAGTGAATACTATGTTTCACTACATACATTAATGGAGATTAGAAGTTTATTGTAAAAATGATTCTCAATACCAAAACTGTATTTGTATATATATGATTAGGTAGATGACTATAGCCAAATAGATCCACCTGATGTGCCATATGCCTCAGTGGCTGTGTAATGCTGTGGTGATGCAGAAACTCCATTCTTCTTTTACGTACATTACTACAGACATGTGGAAATTAAATGGCCTGAATATCTCTATTTGCAATATTTTAATCCTTACTCTATTTGTCTATGGTTGTTTTCATTTGATTTAAATTTTGTTTTCTTTAACCTGGAAAGTAGTAGGGTAAAGTAGCATTTTTAAAAATAAAATAGTTTAATAAATCATAATTTTTTGAAGTATTTCAGGCAACTTTTAAGAGGTGCAGAATCACCAACACGCAATTCAAAATTGAACAGGTGAGTATACTAAGTCATCTGTGTGGTGTGGTTTTTGTACTTGTTGATGCTAATCATTCTTGTGATACTATCTTTGTCTTTATTAGCTCTTTTTCTTTGTGTGGTTCCGTTGCTACATAAGTAGACATTTTATTAAGTAATTATATAATTGTACTACATATAGTAACCTGAAAATGCCTGAAGTTATTTTAGAAAAACTTAACAAGATACACACCATTGCCTTGCTAATATCATAATTAATACATATTAGTGCTTGATCACCTGCTTTATTAGATCCTGTGAACTACTTGCATAAAAGAAATCTATAGATAAGTCAATTTTAGACAGGTTTTTTTTTTCCCTCAGAGAATATTTTATGTTAGAGTACTTACGGGTTACAAATGTGGAGGGTTTTTTCTTGCTTTCCCTTCTCACCTTTTGTGCAGTTAAATAACCCAAAGAAATAACAGAAGAGAGTGCTTTATCCATTTATAAACTGGATAATTAATACCTTGGTTTTTCCTTACATTGTTATATGTACAAAATTGATACAGGTATCAAATGTATAAATCCACAGAATACATATTCACATTGTTCTCAAAACCTTCCAGTTTGAGCAAGAATCTAGTAAATACATAAATAAGTTGGAGATGTGGTACAAAGATAGAGGTAGATAGGTTAGAAACTAGAGTAGTTTTTTAGATAGTACAAGGAAAAATGTGAAAGCCTTAGCTATGGAGAAAATGTATTGCATTTTTTGGTATAACCAAGGGATGTACAAACAGATTGGAATTTCTTGACTGTTGAATTTATATATTACAATCATGAAACATTGATTTAACAAAATTCCATCATGTTATTTAAAATAGCATACTTTACCCAATCCAAACACTTCTTTGATTTGAATACTTTTTTAAGACTTTTATCAAATTTTCCAGTATCATTTGAGAAACAAGTGGAATTTATTGCTGTTTATAGATATAGGATATTTGGAGTGCCACAGTAGGATATTAAGCTTAATCGCCTTCCTCTACAGGACGATTTAAGGGGAAGTGGTTCTTTGATCTCACAAGCCTACCGAATAGCTAAGTCATAACTTCAGAGATGGAAAGCTTTCTTTGCCACTTTGAGATCATCTAGTTGTCTTCAACCTATTACATAATTTTGCTGTCTTTAAAATATAAACAGGAACAAAATATGGGTTCTTTTCATTCTGGGTACTGATTATGGTCTTTAAAAGTATGTTTTTCTTTATATTGACCTGATTTTAATATTAACTATGAGTCTTGTCAGTCCTCTGCTTCTGTGATACTTACTCATTTATCTATATAGAGTAAGTAAAAGATTTACTTAACATTCTCTCATTGAAATTTAGAGTAACATTGCTAATTTGCTAAGTGACTTAAAGAATCTAAAGTATTTATTCATGTATTTTATCTCTGAGTTCTATTTAATTGTATTTTAAAAATAAAATTTTAATGCATTAATGTTAACCTATTGTTCTGTTTCTTCCACACTCAAAGAATAACTTAAAAAACTATATTTAGAGATCTTTTGTTAGCTTTGTTTCTTAGCCTAAAACCTACTTTTCAAAATACTCAAACTAAAGATGTGTGAAGGACACATAATTATATCTAATACAAACTTGGATTTCATGTTGGAAAACATTGAATTTGTCTTTTGTGCTAAGTTTTTGGTGGCTTAGTCTCTGCATACTTTCCACGATATCAAGCAAATGGTATGCCTAAATGAAGGCAAAAAATACAAAATTATTTCCTGACATATTTGTTTAAGAACTTTTTTTTTAATAATCTAGAATTCATACTCACAAAACCCCCCAAATGAGCCATTGTGCTTTTTCTTTCCTTTATTATGTTATAAAAATTCTTTCTCTTTGCAGAGATGAATGCTATCCACCTGTGTAACTTTTAAAGCTTTTAAATTTTGTTTTGTGTTCTGAAGTGAAACTTGTTTAATATCTGGGCTTTCTCTCTCTCCTTTCCTTATATAATTTCATCTATCTGTTACTGCAGAGGTAGCCTAAGTTTGGATGATTTTCGGTAAGTCTTGAGACAGCATGTGATTTTTTTCTGTATAATTTGTCTGTTTAAGTTCAGATAGTATACCCAAAACAAAGTACAACACAAAGGAAAAAAGGAAACACTGCTATTACTACTGCCTTTATATCAGCTATTTGGGATATCCTTTTAAAATTAACCTCTGGGGCATCTGGGTGGCTCCGTCGGTTAAGTGTCTTGACTTCTGCTCAGGTCACTACCTCACAGTTCGTGGTGCTAGCCCCGCATTAGGCTCCATGCTGGCAGTGTGGGGCCTGCTTGGGATTCTCTCTGTCCTCTCTCTACCCCTGGCTTGTGCGCATGTGCTTCTCTCTCTCTCTCTCAAAATAAATAAACTTAAAAAAATAATAAAATTAATCTCTAATTTGATTTTAGATATCTCTTTTTTGAAATAGCATGATATATGTCATAAAATGTCAGTTTAAAATAAAATGAAAAGTTAGTACCTAGCTGTTCAAGGCTATTGACTCATTTAAAAAAAATTTTTTTTAATGTTTATTTTTGAGAGAGAAAGAGAGAGAGATAGACAGACAGACACAGAGCACGAGGAGGAGAGAAAGAGACACAGAATCCAAAGCAGGCTCCAGGCCCTGAGCTGTCAGCACAGAGCCTGACATGGGGCTAGAACTCACAAATTGCGAGATCATGACCTGAGCCGAAGTTGGCTGCTTAACCGACTGAGCCACCCGGGTGCCTTGACTCAGTTTTTTGTTATTGGTTTTGTTAAATTACTTGTATTGACTTATTAATTATTTGAGAGAGAGAGAGAGAGAGAACATGAGTGGAGGAGAGGGACAGAGGGAGAGAGAATCTTAGGCAGACTCCATGCTCAGCAAGGAACCTGGCTCAATCCCACAACTGGGATCAGGACCTGAGCTGAAATCAAGAGTCAGATGCTCAACTGACTGAGCCACCCAGGCACCCCCTAAATTACTTTTAGAATTACTTGTGTTTAAGGAACTTTATTTTTCAAAGCAAGAAGTATATTTCTGTATTTCTGGGGATAATTAGAAATGAGATACTTTAAAAAATATTTCAGATTTTAAAAGCCCAATTTTTTATAATCTGTCTAGGTTCTAGAAACTAGAATAATCTATCTGGATTCTAGAGGTTTTAGTAATACTTTGTTAACATTTTCATAATTGGTTTTGGAAACATTCTATCAGAGAATTGTGTTTACAGTCCTAGATTTTTTTTAAAAAACAACATATGCTTGTTTAAATAAAATAATCTTCTAGTTTACCCATTTTACTACTATTTATTATTAGAGTTTTTCCAGTTTTAAATTAGGTTTGATTTTCTCCTTGGACATGTATAAAATGCACATGTTACTAATGTACCAGATATATTTAAAACTTGATCAAATTATTTTTATTTTTGTAATTGTTGCATTATTTCAATAAATAAGTTTTGCTTGTAGGAATAGTAGCTATCCATTAAATTAAGCATTCAAAACAAACTTTTGAATTTTAAAATAGTAATTTTTATTTGGGTATCAGTTGTACGGGCAGCATTACATGGAGAGCATGAGTGAGTTTTAAATTGAATAAAAGTTCTGTTTTTATTTATTGAAACATGGGACTAGTGGACTGTAATGGAGGAAATTTTTGCTGCTTTTTGGCTTATGTTTTGTTGTTGCTCTCCAACTATTTCTGCTTTTAGAAATTCACTTTAAAAAAAAAATTACAAAACCAACATTTAGTATATATGGCAGAGCAGGCTGCTTCCTTAGGCTACATTTGCTTTTGTCCTTATGTTTATTGCTAACCCTTCCCTTTGGCATGTTTTTTCCATCCCTTGGGCATGTTATCTTTTTGTTACTTTGAAGTCAGGTAAGATACACTTTGTACTTCATTCCTTATAGGAATATAAAGTCGATATTTGCTTAAAAATTTTTAGTCATAGAGGACAGAATTTTTTTGTTGTTAATTTCTAAAAATGGGGCACCCATGGGCACCTGGGTGGCTGTTGGTTAAGCGTCTGACTTGGGCTCAGGTCATGATCTTGAGGTCTGTGAGTTTGAGCCTGGCATTGAACTCTGTGCTGACAGCTCAGTCTGGAGCCTTGCTTCTGATTCTGTGTCTCCCTCTCTCTCTGCCCCTCCCCTATTTGAGCTCTCTCTCTCTGTCTCTGTCTCTCTCTGTCTTTCTCTCTTCTCTCAAAAATGAACAAACATTGGGGTGCCTGGGTGACTCAGTCGGTTAGGCGTCTTGACTTCGGCTCAAGTGATGATCTCACGGTTTGTGAGTTCGAGCACTGCGTCAAGTCTGCTGCTTCAAGCCTGCTTCGGATTCTGTCTCCTCACTCTGCCCCTCCCCTACTTGTGCTCTGGTCTCTCTCTGTTTCTCAAAAATAAGTAAATGCAATAGAAAAATTAAAAATGAACAAACATTAAAAAAAATTCAAAAAATAAAAATGAAGGACTGAGAAGGTCATAGTTTTATATATTTTTCTGTTATATACTATGTTATTTTAGTGGTACAGTTCTAAACGGATACATTGTTTTGAATGTTGGCTCAACACATTAGTTCAAAATATGTATGGCAATAAGAACTACATACCACTAGGGGGCTCTAATCTTCATTCTAGTTCAGTTAATGTTTTAAAGTTAAATAGGTAAATTCCAAATTTTTATTTTTTTTATTATGTTTTTAAAGTTTATTTATTGTTATTTTGAGAGAAGACAGCATGAGTTGGGAAGGGGCAGAGAGAGAGGGAGAGAGAGAACTCCAAGCAGGCTCTGGCTGCCAGTGCAGAGCCTGATGTGCAGCTTGAATTCACGAAATCATGAGATCATAACCTGAGCTGAAACCAAGAGTCAGATGCTTAACTGACTGAGCCACCCAGGCGCCCAATTCCAAATGTTTATTGATAAATATTGTCCCATTTATTCATACCCCCAAATTTAGACTTTAAATGTCACTTTTGGCTTCTGATATCCTGGGACTTGATCTAGATGACTAAGAACTCCAAAAAGTTATGTTAGCTGTACCTTCAGTTTACTCTTTTCACACGTATTTTAATTATTGTTAATAAACTAGAATGTCGTGATAATTTGCTGTGTACTTGATACGTTTTTGTTTAATATTTAGGAGCACACAGAAGAGAGGAGAATCATTTGGAATCAGCAGAATAGGTAGCAAAATTAAAGGAGTATTCAAAAGTACCACAATGGAGGGAGCTATGTTGCCTAATTATGGGTTAGCCGAAGGTGAAGATGACTTTGTAAGTAAAAATTTTTCAGTTTGATGTATGTATAACTTCAGACCTACAATGGCATAAAAAATGATATGCTTACTTTCTATTTTCCCTCTCCTTTATTTTACTTATTTCAGACTTCAATGCCTTATTTTTTTCATTAGTTATTATAGTTTTATGATGCTAATCTAATTGGTAATGTTCCTGAGCACTAAGTTAACTTCTTGTTAAGGCCAGAATGGTTTCTGTTGAGCTGTGATAGTTATAAAAGTCAAACAATTTACCATCCTTTGGTTAGGTTTTTAATTTGTTTCCTCATCTTATCGCTTTCCAGCCATATGGTCCAGGCAAACAGAACTGTTGATAAATGTCCTACCCGCAACATGGGGCTCTAACCATGACCCCTTGCTACTCAAACTGTGATTGGTACGTCAGCAGCGTCAGCATTACTTGGGAGCTTATTAAAATGTAGAATGTCTGCTTCCATCCTAGACCTACTAAATCAGTTCGCATTTTAACAAGATTCCCAGTTGATTTATATGCACATTAACCCACCATACTATTTTATTTTTGTGATCTTTGCACATGCTGCCCTTAAAATGCCCTACCTTTATATGTACCTAGAAAGTTCATACTTAACTTTCAGAATCCAGCCTCTCCCATAAACCTTTATCTGGGTCCCCCAGTGGAATTGAACATTCTCTCCTTTGTGCCCCTTATTAGATCTTATGTTAAAACATGTACCATATAGTGTATTTGAAATGATATGTTTATGATTGTTTTCCATACCAATTAGTTCTATAAAGACAGATACTGTCTCATTTGTGCTTTTTATTTGTTTAATAAATCTTTATTAAATAGAGTCCCTGTATCCTTATTTTGCCCATTAATGATTCTGAGCACTGGAGATAAAATGATTAAGACGGAGACTTTCCCCTTAAGAGATTCACTAACCTGGATATAAAAGGGATGAATAATAGTGATTGGATTGGCAGTGACCTAGAAGAAGGAATGGGGGAAGAGAGGAGTAAATTAACCCATTTTTTCCTCTGTACTTCTTCCTTTTGACCTCTGTCCCATTGCAGTGATGAATTATCGAGGACATTCATTGCTTTTTCATAGTTTAAGTGGAAAAAAATTTAATTCTTTTTTTTTTTCCTTCTTAGGTAATCTAAATACAACATTTTTTTTCTGTTTATACCCCCCCTTTTTTTTTTTAAGTTTGTTTATTTTGAGAGAGTGAATATGAATAGGGGAGGGGCAGAGAGAGAGAGAGAGAGAGAGAGCGCGAGCGAGAAAATTCCAAGCCCGACATGGGGCTGGATCACACAAACTGTGAGATCATGACCTAACCCAAAATCAAGAGTTAGATGCTTTAACTGACTGAGACATGCAGGTGCCCCTGCCCTTGTTTTTTCTTAAAAGTGTGGGTAGAAGAAAGACAGTAAACCAGAGGAAGCAGTCATTTTTCAAAATGAAGTATATTATAGTGTCAATTTTTTTAATAATACGCAAAAGTGGAAACAAATTTAAAATACCACTCATAATTGTAACACCCAATAACTCACCTCTATTAACATTTTGGTGGTTTTCTTTTTTAAAAAGTACCTTTCCTTTCTCATCCACATAGATGAGGGTATACCATTATATATAATGTATATGTATAGTATATAGTTTGCTATCCTGCTTTGTCCCCTCTTAACATTACAACAAAAGCATTTACCCATGTTATTGTGAACTTTTTAAAACATAATTTTTGTTCAGGAAAACGTACTTTTTCGTTCTGCCCAATTACTTGTTCTGCCCAATATAAGCTCGTTTTTTTGGTTTTTTGTTTTTTTGTTTTGCTTCAGGAATAGGAGGATAATCTTCAAAAAGGTGAGAGAGTTCTGTTTTGTAGTGGTTCAAGGAAGAAGAAAATTCTTGATTTGGAAGCAAAGATAGTGATAATGGAAAGCAGGAAAAGAAAGCAAACTAATCTCTAATATTCTGAAAAGAAAAGGTAGGGGCGAAGAGGCTGTTGGCCCAGACCAAGACAGTACTACTTAGGATTTAGAGAGCACTGTGCTAGTTTCGTTTCGTTCCGTTTCTTTTCTTTTCTTTTCTTTTTTTTCTTTTCTTTCTTTTCTTTTCTTTTCTTTTCTTTTCTTTTCTTTTCTTTTCTTTTCTTTTCTTTTCTTTT